TTTATATATATATATTTTATTGATTTTTACAGAGAGGAAGGGAGAGGGATAGAGAGTTAGAAACATCAATGAGAGAGAAACATTGATCAGCTGCCTCCTGCACACTCCCCACTGGGGATGTGCCCACAACCAAGGTACATGCCCCCGACCGGAATCGAACCTGGGACCCCTCAGTCCGCAGGCCGACACTCTATCCACTGAGCCAAACTGGTTAGGGCGAGCTCTTTCATCTTAAAATACACACATACTCGTCCCTGAGCTATTGGTTGAACAAGTTAAAATTGGCCAGCAAATCAAGGTGCATGATTTCTTAGTTCTGTATCAGATGATACTGATAATACTTCATAAGTCATCTTTCCTCCCTAGCCGGTTTGGCTCAGAGTATCGGTCTGTGGACTGAAAGGTCCCAGGTTCGATTTCAGTCAAGGACACGTGCCTCGGTTGCAGGCTTAATCCCAGCCCTCATTGGGACATGTGCAGGAGGCAACCAATCAATGTGTCTCTCTCACATTGATGTTTCTCTCTCTTTCTCTCCCCCTCCTTTCCACTCTCTCTAAAAATCAATGGAAAAATATCCTCGGGTGAGGATTAACAACAACAACAAATTAAAATAAAAGTCATCTTTCCTTCATTTTGCCTGCTTTCCTACCTTGTTTATTCCTAATTTACTGAGTGCCTTCTACGTGCCATGTACTGTGCTAGACCCTGGGGATGAAACAGAGACCAAGCCAGACAGACAGACACATAACTCCTGCCTTTGTGGAGCTTAGACTGGGAGGGTTTAAGGCAAAGGTGCAGGTAACTGTCATTTGAGATGGAATGGGATTCTGGTCAGCAGAGAGGGGTAACACCTCTGCTCACCAGGTGGTTGAACGTTGACCTATGAACCCGGAGGTCATGGTTCAATTCCCGGCCAGGGCATATGTCTAGGTTGTGGGCTCAATCCCCAGTGTGGGGCATGCAGGGGGTAGCTGGTCAATGATTCTCTCTCTTCATTGATGTTTCTATCTTTCTATTCCAATGGCATGGTATGTTAACACATTTCATACTGCTCAGGAGTTTTCTCGTGTTTCGCGCGCCATCTGTTAAGGACCGCTCACGAGTGTTCTCGTTTTTCACGCCCATGGAAAAAGGAGCGAATCTAGATACTTATGTAAATTTTGTTTGGTCCCTCTTCATAGAGGAAAATGTTTTACGCAGTACCATACGTTAAAAAAGTACTAGGAACTTTTTAATTGTTTTTGTAAATAAAAATGTTATAATTATTGAAAAACAACAGCTAAAGTGCATTATGATGATTTAAATAACATGCAGTTTGCCCAAAAACGTGCGGTCCCTGGCGTATGTCTTAGAGATTTCTATGCGGTACGCAATGTGTTAAAAGGCAGTTAAACACTGTGAGCACAAAAGAGCAGGGCCAGGGGAATGTGGGTTACAGAAAGGATGGGAAAGAGAAGGATGGGTGGGCTCTATATGTAATATGGCGATTAGGGTAGGCCTCCTTGACCAAAACATACATGTTCAAAAATAAGTTTTTAAAGTCCCAGCTTTGGCCCTGGCCAGTGTTGCTCAATGGTTAGAGCGTTGGCCTATGCACTAAAGGGTTGTGGGTTTGATTCCTGGTCAAGGGCATGTACTTGGGTTGCTGGTTTGCTCTGTGCCCCTAGTCAGGGCGTGTGCGGGTTCACTCTCCACCCCCAGTCAGGGCATCTCTCTCACCACATTGATGTTTTTCTCTCACTCTCCTCATCCCTCCCTCCCACTCTCTCTGAAAAGCAATGGAGCCCTAGCTGGTTTTGCTCAGTGGATAGAGCGTCAGCCTGTGGACTGAAGGGTCCTCGGTTCGATTCCAGTCAAGGGCACATGCCCAGGTTGCAGGCTTGGACCCCAGTGGGGGGTGTGCAGGAGGCAGCCGGTCAGTGGTTCTCCCTCTCCCTTCCTCTCTGGGGGGAAAAAAAGGCAATGAAAAACAATATCCTTTGAGGATTATAAATAAATAGATAGATAGATAGATAGATAGATAGAGGATTATAAATAAACAGATAGATAGATAGATAGATAGATAGATAGATAGATAGATAGATAGAGGATTATAAATAAACAGATAGATAGATAGAGGATTATAAATAAATAGATAGATAGATAGATAGATAGATAGATAGATAGATAGAGGATTATAGATAGATAGATAGATAGATAGATAGATAGAGGATTATAGATAGATAGATAGATAGATAGATAGATAGATAGATAGATAAATCAAGTCCCAGCTTTGTTCTGTAGCAGCACAGGCACAATGCAATGGTTTACTTGCCTCTTTGTACATACATAGAAGCTGACAAAATCTGAAAGTTTGGTATTTTACAACTCAGATGCTGACAATTTAGGAGCATCATCTCAGAAGCCGGTTGAGGAAAAGGCAGTTACTCCAAGCCCCGAGCAGGTGTTTGCTGAGTGTTCCCAGAAGAGGATTTTGGGGTTATTAGCAGCCATGTTACCTCCCTTAAAGTTGGTAAGAGACAAATGGCATTTTCTTTTTAAAAGAGCAGTGGTATTATGCATAGAATAAGTGTTTTTGTAAGCCATATACTAAAACCAACTCTTATTAGCAGTCATCTGTGTTCCTGAGGGTAGGGTTATAAATTAAAGTAGGATTGTAAGATGATACCTGAGAATGTATTTTATAATTGATTGAACGTAAGCCATTTATGAAAGATACTAGAGGCCCAGTGCATGAAAATTCATGCACTGGAGGGGGGTCCCTCAGCCCGGCCTGCCCCCTCACAGTCCAGGAGCCCTCAGGGGCGGGAGGCGACCCGGCGAACAGGGGAAGGTGATGCCCCCATCACACCTCTGCTGCTGCCACTGCCGGCAGCGCAAGCCTCGGCCTGCCCTGGTTACCTGAGCCTCAGGCGGCCCTGGGCAGCTGGTCAGCCACCATCCAAGGCTTGCCTGCACCCCGGGCTGGCCCTGGGGGGCTGGGGGTCTGAGGGGACTGGGGGACTCCGGAGGCAGGCACGCGGAGTGCCTGCTGCCCCAGTGGGGCTGAGGGGACTGGGCACTGTCATCTTGTGGCTGTGTCAGTCAATTAGCATATCCCCTCCTTACTGGCTGTGGGTGCTGCCATCTTTGAGGGCGGGGAAGTCAGTTAGCATATTCCCTCCTTTTTGGCTGTGGGCGCCGCCATCTTTGCGATGGCATGAGGGTCAATTAGTATATCCCGTCTTTATTAGATAGGATTGCGTAATTCCTTTGACACTAGGATAGTTGTAAATAAAACATGAAGGGAATGGAGTCTGTAGTTGGTGATTTTATGTGGATTTTGTATTGAACAAATTTTTCTCCCTCTCTTAGCAGGATCCCACAGTCCCCCTGATAGACCTGGAGCACGTCCTCCCACTCATGTTTCAGGTTGTCATCTCAAACGCAGGCCACCTGAATGAAACCTACCACCTCACGTTGGGTCTTCTTGGCCAGTTAATAATCCGCCTTTTGCCATCAGAGGTAGATGCCGCAGTGATCAAGGTCCTCTCAGCCAAACACAACCTATTTGCTGCAGGGGACAATTCCATTATGCCAGATGGCTGGAAGACCACCCACCTACTCTTTAGCCTGGGAGCTGTGTGTCTGGACAGGTAGCCACACCCACTCTAATCCACCTTGGTGTTCATTTCTTTAAGTCAATGGTCTGGCTGTTGATTAATATCAGTGTGCTTCAGTGCTATTGTCCAGGAATCTTTTGTGGGAATAGAATTACTTTTATTAGCAACTAGAAGCCCGGTGCACAAAATTTGTGCACTGGAGGGGGGGGTTGTCCCTCAGCCCAGCCTGCACCCTCTCTAATCTAGGACCCCTTGGGAATGTCCGACTGCCGGTTTAGGCCCGATCCCTCTCACAATCCTGGACTGCTGGCTCCCAACCGCTCACCTGCCTGATTGTCCCTAACTGCTTCTGCCTGCCACCCTGATCACCCCCTAACCCAGGGGTGGGCAAACTTTTTGACTCGAGGGCCACAATGGGTTCTTAAACTGGACCGGAGGGCCAAAACAAAAGCATGGATGGAGTGTTTGTGTGAACTAATATAAATTCAAAGTAAACATCATTACATAAAAGGGTACGGTCTTTTTTTTTTTTAGTTTTATTCATTTTAAACGGGCCGGATCCGGCCCGCGGGCCGTAGTTTGCCCACGGCTGCCCTAACCACTCCCCTGCCGGCCCGATCGCCCCCAGCTGCTCTCCCCTGCCAGCCTGGTTGCCCCCAACTGCCCTCCCCTGCTGGCCTGATCACCCACAACTGCCCCCCCTTCCGGCCATCTTGTGGCTGCAGGTGCCGCCGTCTTTGAGGGCAGAGCAATTAGCATATTCTCTCCTTATTGGCTGTGGGCGCCGCCATCTTTGCAATGGCGTGAGGGTCAATTAGCATATTCCCTCTTTATTAGATAGGATGTTATCAACAGACATTAAATTATGCTCAAAACCCACATTAAAACAGCTGTTCAGTCTGGGCACAGTCTGCTGATTCAACTTCCTGGTTGGTTTGTTGCTCCTGAGAGCAGTAAGTATAGGCTTTGAGGCTGAAGAAAATAGATCTGTTTTCATTATAAATGTAACAATCACAATACCAAATTTGTAAGACAGAAATGAAGACTAAAAATCATCCTGGCTCCCACCATATTAAGGGTGCTGGGTTTTTTTGTTTTGTTTTGTTTTAATATATTTTTATTGATTTCAGAGAGGAAGGGAGAGGGAGAGAGATAGAAACATCAATGATGAGAAAGAATCATTGATCTGCTGTCCCTGCATGCCCCAATCTGGGGATCGAGCCTACAACCCAGGTATGTGCCCTGACTGGGAATCAAACCTAGTTCATAGGTCAGCGCTCAACTATTGAGCCGTGCCAGCCAGTGTGGCTTGGTGGTTGAGTGTTGACCCATGAACCAAGAGGTCGCCAGTTCCATTCCGTCAGGGCACATGCCTGAGTTGCTGACTCAATCCCTGGTAGGGGGCATGCAGGAGGCATCGATCAATCTTTCTCATTGATATTTCTATCTCTCTACTCCTCTCCCTTCCTCTCTCTAAAATCAATAAAGACATATAAAAAAAAAAACTAGTTTAAAAAAAAAATATATATATATATACTTCTTTTCAACAACAAAAAGAAATAAAAATAAACAACAAAATATATATATATTTCCTTTCAAGCTTTTTTTCTATCATGAATATGCACAAGCACACAAATGTGTATAAGTTTTTATAGAGATTTAAAAAAACATAGCTGTAGACAATATGTAAGTAACAGATCTTGATTCCCCCCCTCCCCCCTCCACTTACCATTATATGAAAAGCATCATTCTGGTAGTTTTTAAATTAACTAATGAGCCCTAGCCAGTTTGGCTCAGTGGATAGAGCGTCAACCTGCGGACTAAAGGGTCCCAGGTTCGATTCTGGTCAAGAGCACATGCCCAGGTTGCGGGCTTGATCCCCAGTGGGGAGCGTGCAGGAGGCAGCTAATCAATGATTCTCTCTCATCATTGATGTTTCTGTCTCTCCCTCTTCCTTCCTCTCTGAAATAATTAAAAATATATTTAAAAAACACTAATGAGTGATTCTTTGGTATGCTTCTGGGTCTGCTTTGGAGTGTAGCAAACTTTGCTGAGTTTAATTTGGAGCTTGTGCACTCATGGAGCTCTTGCCTTCCAGCCGGGTGGGTTTGGACTGGGCGTGCTCCATGGCAGAGATCCTGCGGTCACTCAACAGTGCCCCATTGTGGCGCGACGTCATTGCCACCTTCACAGACCACTGCATCAAGCAGTTGCCTTTCCAGCTGAAGCACACCAACATCTTCAGCCTGCTAGTGCTGGTCGGCTTTCCCCAGGTATATCCCTCTGAAGGCCTGGCCACCTCTTTCTGTCTTCAGCACACACATCAAAGTCTCTATACTAGCATATATCTTTGGAATTTTTCCCCCTGTTGTATAATCGCCTTTATATAATATTGATATATTTTTAAGATTATGGGATGATTTGTTTAACTTGCATTTTCAACAATTTAGTCATTTGATTCATTTTGCTAGCCAGTAGTTGGCTTTGAATAATAGTAACTATAATACAGTAAATTACAAAGCACTTCAAAGTACAATTGTTTTTCACTTTGGCATTCATTTTGATCTCATTTCTAATCTTCATATCTCTCAACTGGTTGGGACAAAGAGGACTGTGAAATCATGGCTTCTTCATCCAGCAAGCACTTAAACCAGTTCTGTGCCAGGCCTGTGTCAGGCTCTGGACTTGGAGATGGGAAGAACCCCATCCTTGAATGCTTCTGGAAGTTAGGACACAAGCAAAAGGGACTGGACTTGTGTTTAATTAAGTACTTTTTCCTGTTTCTTTGTGCCATTGATTTGCTTTTTCTGTCTCTCTCTCTCATGTTCTAGGTTCTCTGTGTGGGGACCCGCTGTGTTTATATGGATAATGCCAATGAGCCACATAATGTGATCATCTTGAAGCACTTTACTGAGAAAAACAGGGCTGTGATTGTTGACGTCAAAACCCGGAAAAGGAAAACAGGTCCTAATCATAATTATTTCTTCTAAAAATGGAAGAAAGTTGTATAATCTCTGCATATATGTTTTATGGTCAAATTGAAACAAGGTTCCATGTGCACTTGAAGAAAATATATATACTTGTGTTGTTGGTGGAGTGTCCTTTTGACAGTATTTAGGTCAAGTCAATTGATAGTGTTGTTTAAGTCTTCTATGTTCTTACTGATTTTCTATCCTTACAATTACTGAGATAGAAATGTGTTGAAGTTTCCAACTGTAATTATGTGTGTGTCTATTTCTCATTTCATTCTGGAATGTCCCTTTTTATCTCTGATAATATTCCTTGTTCTGGCTATCTACTTTAATATTTATGTGGCCTCTCTAGTTTTTTTTTATTACTAACATTTGCATGGCATATCTTTTTCCATCCTTTCACTTTAATCTACCTATACCTACATTTAAAGTGGATTTCTTAGAGCTAGCACGTAGTATAGTCTTCATTTTTAATCCAATCTGACAATCCTTGCCTTTTAATTGAGATGTTTAGACCGTTTACATTTAAAAACAGTTATCAAGATAGTTGAGTTTAACTCTATTCTCTTCCTGATTTTTAAAATTATTTGTCTTGTCTGTTCTTTGTACCTTTTTTTTTTCTCATCTTCTGCCTTTTGGATTGAGTTTTTTTATTTCATTTTATCCCTACTATTGGTTTGTAAACTATAACTCTTTATTTATTTTAGTGATTGCTCTAGGGCCGTGGTCGGCAAACTGCGGCTCGCGAGCCACATGCGGTTCTTTGGTCCCTTGAGTGTGGCTCTTCCTAAGCCTTAGGAGTACCCTAATTAAGTTAATAACAATGTACCTACCTATATAGTTTAAGTTTAAAAAATTTGGCTCTCAAAAGAAATTTCAATCGTTGTACTGTTGATATTTGGCTCTGTTGACTAATGAGTTTGCCAACCACTGCTCTAGGGTTTACAATAGTTTACCTTCAAATAATTTTTTAGTGGTTGAGATACGGTTTATAATATTCACCCTTAACTCATCATAGTCTGCCTTTAAATAATAAATATTATACCACTTCACGTATAGTGAAGACACACAGATTTTATATTTTTATCCCCCATCCTTTGTGCTACTATTGTCACAAATTTTGCTTCTATGTGACATAAACATACCAATACATTATTTTTGTTTTAAAAAGTCAGACACTTTAAAAGATATTTAAAAATGAGAAAACAATGTTTTTCATATTTAGCCATATGTTTATCATTCCTGGTGCCCTTCATTCCTTTGTGTAGGTTCAAATTTCCACTGGTATTTTTTTTTCTTTAGCCTGGTAAACTTTCCCTTAACGTTTCTTGTAGTGAAAGTCTGCTGCTACAAAATATTTGTTTTGGTTTGTCCTACCAAATCAAAGAAATATTTATTTTGACTTTATATTTGAGAGATAATTTTATTGAGCAAAATATGCTCGCTGAGAGGTTTTTGTGTGTGAATATTTTAAAGATATTGATCAGTTTTCTTTGGGCTTGCATAGTTTCTGCCACAAAGTTTGCTGTCATTCTCTGTTATTCTTCATAGTGTGCCTAATGTGTGTGTGTGTGTGTGTGTGTGTGTGTGTGTCTTTGCCTCCATTCTGACTTTATTAATAGTTTTGGTTTTATAACACTTGGTAGGGTAAGTGTTCCCGGCCAGACAGAATATCTATTCTCATAAAACATTCAGGTAAAGAAGACACAAATTATTTGCATTCTCTGGTTAAACAGTCCAATGTTCATAATCCCATCAACCCTTTCTTTGGTAGAACCTTTATGTTCTCTCAATCTAATTGTAGCCCATGGCCAGGGCTTCACCAGTGGATTTTGGTAAGACAGTTTGTGGGGTTCCCATGTCAAGGAGTCCAGAAACTTCTCTTCTTCACATTCTGGCCATTTTATCCACTCTAGTGCAGAGACTTTGGGTCCCCAGTTAAGGGTTGAGTCGAGGGACCCTGGTCTTTTTGTCAGTTTTCATCTTAATTCCTCTCCCAAACCATTGCTTGAAGCAATTGCAGATCAGATTTCTCATTATAATCTTTGAATCTTCGTTTTCAAAATGTCTCCAAACCAGGATAAATAAAGCAGACTTGTTTGGGGCTCTGTGTGGGGTCCTTTTGGCCTGCACCACCTTGTGTAGTACTGTGTTAAAATCTTTGCTTGAACCCGATCAGTGCCCATTTTATTCATATCTAATCATCAAGGGTATCGGTGTTATGCGCTGGGCCAGGGCTGCTGTGGTTGGGGTCGAAGCATTGGGTTCAGTGGCATGGATTCTGGGCAGCTCCATCAGCTGAGATTAACATAGGCAAAGACTGAGGGAGTTCTTAGTGACAAAAGCTTTGGGTGTCCCTGATAGCCACGAGGGCTGCTTGAGTGTTTGGTGGTGAAAGCTGCTGGGGTCTTCTGCTCTCCTTTTCCTCCAAAGGAAGAGATCACAGCTGAGGGGATCCCTTTTGCTGGCAAGTTATTGCTATAATGTGTCTTTTTTCTCTGATCGCTTTTAACATTTTTCTCTTAATCACTGGTTTTTAGCATTTAAAAAAGTATTTTTATTGATTTCAGAGAGAGGAAGGGAGAGGGAGAGAGAGATAGAAACATCAATGATGAGAGAGAATAATTGATCAGCTGCCTCCTGCACACCCCCTACTGGGGGTTGAGTTCGAAACCCGGGCATGTGCCCTGACTGGATCAAACTATGACCTCTTGGTTCATAGGTCGATGCTCAACCACTGACCCATACCAGCTGGTGGTTTTTAGCACTTTGATTATGTTGTACCCTGGCATGATTTTCTTTGTTTCTTCAGCTTGGGGATTTATTGAACTTCTAGCTTTGTGGATTTATAGTTTTCATCAAATTTGGAAACATTTTAATCATTATATCTTCAAATAGTTTTTTTGCCCCCCACTAGGACACTTCCACTCTCACTTGTGGGAAGACAAAATATTCCCAGCTCTCCGAGTTCCAAGAACTGTTTTGCCTATTGTTTTTTGGTAGACTTTATAAAAAACTAAGTTGTTTCCTATATGGATAATTTCCTTTCACATTTGTGAGATCAGTACTCAGCCAAAGACTCCTGAGGGTCGGTCTCTCTCTCTCGCTCTCTCTCCCTCCCTCCCTCACTTCCTCTCTCCCCCTTTCTTCCTCCCTCTTCCTCTTCCTCTCCATCTCTCTTCTCTGTGATATACTGCCCCGTAAATTCTAGCTGCCTTGATTTCCTTGAATACTGACCTCTACCTCCTCAGTTCATTGACTGCTGGACTCTGCTTGGATTTTCACTCCTTGCTCCGCAGCCTGGAAGTTTATCTTTAGACTAGAGGCCTGGTGCATGAAATTCATGCACAGGTGTGGTCCCTAGGCCTGGCTGGCAATCGAAGCGCGAGTGTCTGACATGGAAGGGCAGGTCCCAGCTGACCTCTGGGCTCTGGGCAGTACTGGGCCCCCAGGCCCCTGTGCACCTCCTTCCCCCTGAGTCATGGTGCCCAAGTCCCCACGCGGAGATGCGGTGAGCGTGGTCAGATGCTGTGGGCCTGGGTGCAGCCTGGGCCTCTGGGCCGCCCAGCAGTGCTGCACAGAAGCCGGGCGGGCAGCACACTCTCTCCCGGCCGGCCTTGCAGACCAGCTCCTATACGAACCCACAGGGAGCCTGACCAGCCCCTGTGGTCTCAGTGGCTCACCCGGAAGAGGCCGCGCAGGTGCGGGGCAGGCGCCTGAGCAGGAGGGCTTCCCCGGTGCACAAGCCCTGGTGTCCCGGGGGAGAGTAGCAGGGGGAGTGAGAGTGAGCTTGGTGAGCACCCCACATTCTCACCGCACCTCCGTCCGTCACCCTCGCCCCCAGGTAGCCAGCGAGAGGTCGCAGCACTTTGCCCATGCCTACACCGCCCCCTGGTGGTCAGTGCACGTCATAGCTGACTCCCGGTCTCCCAGTCAAAAGACCGTCCGAGGGGGCCAATTTGCATATTAGGCTTTTATTATATAGGATAGCCAGACCTATTGGAGGGCTCACCTGGTTTTTGTCCCTTCTCTCAGGGATCATAGTCTTGTACTACCTGTTGTCCGATGTCTGCAAACCATTGTTTCATATATTTTCAGTGTTCTGGTTGTTGAAGGTAGAAGAGTAAATCCGATCCCTTAGTCTTGCTTGGAAGTGGAAGTCTCTTGTGTACTATATTTAAGAACAACGTTTAACAACCTTTGTCTTCTTTTGGAGGGAACTTGTTTGTGCACAGTAGTAGGAATATTAATTTCCTCTTTCAGTTGCTTGGTGAATAGGTGGCCCAGTACCATTTTTGTGCTACCCTGCAAGCTGGCCTTAAATATAACAGCTAAGTTTGAAACCAGGAGATTTTGGGGGCTTGCATTTATTGCTTCCATAAGGCACATTACTGGGGAAGAAACTTAGCTGCAGGAGGCATTAACTATATTTTTGATGCCTTCTTTTCCTGCCTGACATCACCCTTCAGTGAAGGACTACCAGCTGGTCCAGAAAGGAGGAGGACAGGAATGCAGTGACTCTCAGGCCCAATTGAGCCAATATTCCCAGCACTTTGCCTTTATCGCCAGTCACCTTCTGCAAACCAGCATGGACAGCCATTGTCCTGAGGCAGTGGAAGCAACTTGGGTCCTGTCCCTGGCCCTCAAAGGATTATATAAAACACTAAAGGTAATGGTGAGCTTCTTCCATTTGCTACTGAATCTGGCTGTGATTTAACATCTGCAGGGCATTAACTAGGAAGAAATGCCATCTGGTTTCAATGGAGGCTTAACTATAGGATTTTGATTACTTTTAAAAATGGTTGGGGCCTTGCACAAGGATAGCTTTAAAGCAGAAACAGAGTTTTCCTGATAGTTGGTTTTCTGTAGTTGTTCAATACTGTTTTATGGGACCACTGTCTAATGGGCACAGAACCTTGGAAGATGAGAAGAAAAATGGACTGAATGTCTTCCCTCTGAACCATAGCTTCTTCTGGTTCATCGTAGGATAAGAAGAAGGGAAGAATAAAGGGGCAAGCATCCCATGGCATCTTTGAGCAATAGGTTTGTCAGTTGGGGTGGGAGGAGGCAGACAAGTTAAAGAGCTGGGTCGTAGTTGGTGTGGAGATGAGAAGCCTTGACGTATGGGGAACATAGTTCTTCTGCTCTCTGAGTGGCATGGATGAGAAGGAAGGGGTCAATTTAGGATGATCTTCCCAACAGAACTAGCCATAAAACAAGGATTTCATTTAAAAAGTTTGTTCCTTGACTTTGACAACACTGGCGAGGAAGCCATGGAAAGACCCCAGCACCACAGCGAGACTGGATTAGAGAGCATTTCAGCTCTGGCCCAGCCCTGAGAATTTGTAGTTTTAGGACTGACACTATGCATCTACTACTTATTGATATCATGGCATTTATCACAATCTGCTATGGTTTTAGTTGTTTGCATTATAGTAGGTGAGAGAATATAATAAACTCCCTGAGGGCAGAGACCATTTCTGTTTTTGAATCCTTCATTCAATGCCAGATAGAACTGAGTTGTAGTTTTGAACTAGAAAGAAGGTCCTTGATCTCATGGAGCTTATAGTCTAAACTGCAAGAGAGACAACAAAGAGCCTGCAAGGAAAACTGTCATGAGTCAGAAAAAGCCTTTTTGAGAAGATGAAATTTAAGTTGACAGATAAGAATCTGGGTAGGGTGTTGCATGATGGGAGAGTAGCAAACTCCAGGAACAGGCATGTTTGTCAGGAAGCAGAAAGAACACCTCCAGGGATTCAGGATAGTATCGAAGAGGCAGATGAGACCACAGAAGCAGGCAGGGATCCTATAGGTCAGTGATGGCGAACCTTTTGAGCTCGACGTGTCAGCATTTTGAAAAACCCTAACTTAACTCTGGTGCCGTGTCACATATAGAAATTTTTTGATATTTGCAACCATAGTAAAACAAATATTTATATTTTTGATATTTATTTTATATATTTAAATGCCATTTAACAAAGAAAAATCAACCAAAAAAATGAGTTCGCATGTCACCCCTGACACACGTGTCATAGGTTCGCCATCACTGCTGTAGGTCCTTGTCAACTCTTTAGTTTAAAGAGCAGTGGGAAGCTTTTGGAAGGTAGCAAGCAGGAGAGGGACAAAAAAACTTCTGTTGTTAGCACAGGACTTAGCACACAGGATGTATTAGGCTTCAGAATATTTGTTGAATGAATGAATTGGCGAGTGAATGAACAGACATAGGTTATGGCTAAGGTTCAGAGTTCATTCTTCCTTCTGATTCCTCACTTAAGAGTAACCTTGGGCCACTAGCTGAGACTGGGTTCTGAAGGCTTGCTTCTCCCTAGTGATCCTTAGCTTCTTCATTCTGAGGCAGTTGCAAATCATTCTTTTTCTGTTTGGCAGGCTCATGATTTTGAAGAGACCCATGCTACCTTCCTTCAGACTGATTTGCTGAAGCTACTGGTGAAAAAGTGCAGCAAAGGGACTGGTTTCAGTAAAACGTGGCTCCTCCGGGACCTGGAAGTAAGGGATGAGGTGGCTCCTCCTGCTGCCAACTGGTGCAGATTTCCTGGCCTGAGAGTTAGAGTATCAGTTACAGCTGGTTCTTCCCCTTGCACTCTCCCTCTGTGCAGTTGTGAAAACTGTGTCTTGTATTGTCTTCCCTTTTTAAATAGGGATATGACACCTGTCCTCCCCTGTCAGGGAAAATGAATTTGATGCTTGTTTAAAGAACATTGGAAGAGAAGTATTTTATATGGAAATATTATATCATGATAATAAAGTGTTCCCTTGATTATTATTTCCCTTTAAAGTTCCTTTGAGCTAAGATGAGTTTCTAAATTTGTCCTCACTTTTATTTTTTGTAGGATGTTAGTTGATATTCTCATTTTATTACTATTCCCCATAGGCTTTAGGTTGTTCTTAATAGAATTTTTATAGTTCCCTGTGGAGTTTCTGTACCAAGTGTCAGTCAGCTTCAGGACCAGGAAAGGCTGCTGCTATGTGAGAGGTGGTCAATACCCTTGCTCAGCCCACAGAGGCCTGAACTTGAAGAAACAGCTCATAGTTGCCACTGTGCTCGAACATATTAATGGATAACCTGGAGAGCATGTGAGCTTTTGTTCTTAGGAAATATTTTAAATTAAATTATTTTTTATTATTCAAACAATAGAACCATATTGCAGAAAATTTGAAAAATAGAAAAAGAAAAACTCTAAATTTTATCCCCAAACACAGCTACCTGTTTTTTCCCCTCTGTATCTATGATAGATAGATAGATACATAGATAGATAGATGGATAGATAGATAGATGATAGAGATTGCAAAATGAGCATGGTGTACAATAAATTGAGATCATATCATGGCCATTTTTCTAAGTTGCTAGTTTTCATAATCATGATTTTTAATGGCTGCATATGATATGTGAAGGTAGATTTCAGTTTTTAACATATTTTACATTATTCCTCAAAGATGAGTTACTGGGTTAGAGACCAAACATTCTTATAGCTCTTTATGTAAATAACCGTCTACCTTCACATACCATATGCAACCATTAGAAATGGTATTATGAAAACTAGCAACTTAGAAAAATGGCCATCAGATTCTCTCAGTTCACCAACATGCAGTCTAAAAGCATGATATCAATTTACACGGTCAGTGGCAAAGTTAATAAAGTTCCCTCATAGTTTTAGTTAGCATTTCTTTTATTATAAGTATAATTGAACATGTTTTTGTGTTTCTTTTCTAATTATACATTCTTTTTGTGAATCCTGACATCTTTTAAAAAGTTAGGTCAAATATTTTCTACCCTTTGAGCATTAAGGATCTGGGTAACCTTCTCACCCACCACTCACTCACTTTCCTGCCCTGCCTGATTTTCTTTCGGTGTAGATCTTGTCCATCATGCTGTACTCCTCAAAAAAGGAGATCAACACTTTGGCTGAGCATGGAGACTTGGAGTCGGATGAGCGAGGGGACCAAGAGGAGGAGGTGGAACGGTCCGTCAGCAGCCCGAGTGAGCCAGAGCAGAAAAAGCTAGACCCTCTGGAAAGCCTGGATGAGCCCACCAGAATATGTTTCCTGGTATGTTCTTAGGTCATGGCGTGGCCCGAGACAGGGACTTTAAGGGATGGATTCTCTTTGGCTTAGACTATGTTTTAGCCTCCACGTCCTGAGAATCACTTTCTGCAGACTCAGTCTGTATTGTGCAGAACCATTGCAGAAGAATGGAAAGGCCCTTCCAACAGTACTTCTTAACGTTTTTGGTTCATGGGCCCAAAACCTGTAGATCATTTCTCCTATAAAATACACATTGAAATAAATATGTACAATTTTGCATGTAATTTCCAACCCCATCCATAAACTTTCAAATGATAGTTCTTCCTCATAGTTTCTCAGACATACTGTCTTACTTTCCCTGGATAACCCACTCTTCCTCAGAATGATGTGAAAATGGGGGAGGGCATGACCTCAAAGGGTCTAATTATATGAAGAGTAAACAGTATGAGATGGATGTCTGAAAAACAAGTACAATTTTTTAAAAATCAAAAGTACAGTATACTTAGACTTATGCGCCAGTTATCAAACTTGAGTGTGAGGCAGTGACAGAGAAGCTAGCAATAAGTACAGTGTGGTGGGTAGTTATTGATGTTAGCATTGCATTCTGTTGACATATTTCTTTTGGTGTTTCTGTGTTTTATATTTTCCTTTGAATTTATAATAGTAATGCAAAGTTTATAAATCCATGTTTTAGGGTTTATAACTTTTTATGCTTTAAGTACCCATATGGTGTTCTTAAATTATTACCTGTGGTAACTTTAGAACATAATAGTTTTATCACTTTTGAGTTTAGATGGTCAATAACGTGTTAAAGCACATTAACTTGTCTCTCTCCTACTTCCTCCCGTGGCCTTCAGATGGCTCACGATGCCCTCAACGCCCCTCTGCACATTCTCCGGGCCATCTACGAGCTACAGATGAAAAGGACCGATTCGTTCTTCCTGGAGGTCCAGAAGAGGTAAGGGCGGTCTGGGTCCAGCTGAAGTGCAGTGAGTGTGAGAACACGCGAGGCAGGGCTGCACTAACCTCCTGCCAGCGGGGTCTGGAGAAAAGCTCCTGACAGGCCCAGCGCTGGTGCGGAGCTGGTCGTTAGCGCTTCATACAGGGATCTGAAAGCTGGCTGTGCTGCACTGCACATCATCCTGAATTGTGTTGTATGTTCCTCTGGAAAAACTTCACATTTCTTAGAGGAAACTCATTATGGATGCAGGAATGGAGACAGACACCGAGGTTTCTCTCTTATGTCATCCCAGGGAACACAGTGCAGAGCGGGACCTTCTTATCAAAAGTGTTGTTTTGTTTGTTTTTCACCACTGCATATTATACCCATTTTTGTTTTTTTCAAGAACTATTATACAGTTAACAATATATGCCTTTCTCTTGGGTAGGAAGTTCAGAGCTAGTTCTTGGGCCCAGCTCTTAAATTTGTGTAGAACTTTGCCTATTTGCAACTAATCCCCTCCTCTGTCCCCATATTCTAGTTTTGACTTCCTATTCTAATTTATATCCAATTCCAGTTTGATATTTCTTTTAATTTTTCATATTTCTGTTTTTCTATATGTATTTATTCCAAATGGCCCCAAATCTTTTGTGAGATGCAGCAGGGTTGCATTGTGTAGGGCATAGCCGAAGCTGTTGTAGCTGAGACACCCAGAAATATCATAGGTCCAGAAAGATAGGATTTGTTTTTGCTGTCAGGGAACAGTCCGAGGTGGGCAGCAGTCTGGGTTGAGTGAGCAGCCCTGCTCCACAAACGACCCTCTTTTGTTCTCATCCGTGTAGTCCAAGCTGGCTCACCCACACCACCTCTCTGTTCCAGCCCAGAGGAAAGGGGGAAGGTAGGGAAAGGAGCACATTCTTAGTGCTGTTGTCTGAGGGTGGGCTTCAGAAGTGGCGCACATCACCTCACTGCCCTCCTGTTGGTAAGAACCTAGTCGCATCACTCCATCTGACTGCAAAGGGTCCTGGGGACCATGTCTCCAGCTAGATGATTCTGTAGCTTGCTAAAACTCCCAGGAACTTTGTTCTAAAAGAAAGGATAGATGGATCCTGAGGGACAGTTTGGATTCTCTGCCACAAGGAAAACATGCACATCTGCGTGCACGAATAAATGAACACTGTGAATCTAGTTTGCAAAATATGGAAAGTCATGTAATTGTGAAGTAACATTTCTGATAAGTTTCACTGCAAGGTAAACTCTGGCCTGGCTGTACCTTATGTACCCAGCTTTGTGCTCCTTCTCTTCAGGTTTGATGGCGATGAGCTCACCACGGATGAAAGGATACGGGCCCTGGCTCAGAAGTGGCAGCCCAGTAGGAGCCTGAGACTGGAGGAGCAGAGTGCCAAAGCTGTGGATACAGACATGATTATCTTACCGTGCTTGGTATGTTGCCTCCACTTGGAAAAAATGGTCTCTCCCTGACCCCACCCCAACCCTACTTGTGAAAAGGCAGGCCTCTGTAACGTGGTCTTTGGGTTTGCAGTCCCAGCCCACTCGCTGTGACAAGGCCACGGCTGAATCAAACCCCGTGACCCAGAAGCTGATCTCCAGCACGGAGAGTGAACTGCAGCAGAGCTACGCCAAGCAGCGGCGTACTAAGAGCGCCGCCCTCCTGCACAAGGAACTGAACTGCAAGAGCAAGAGGGCAGTCCGGGACTACCTTTTCCGGGTGAATGAGGCCACGGCAATCCTGTATGCCCGCCATGTGCTCGCATCCTTGCTTGCTGAGTGGCCTGGGCACGTGCCAGTGAGCGAGGACATCCTGGAGCTAAGTGGCCCTGCCCATATGACCTACATTTTTGACATGTTCATGCAGCTGGAAGAAAAGCACCGGTGGGAGAAGGTAATTAAGCAGGCCAAGCTGGGCACTCACCCCTCTCACTCCTCCTCTGTCCTCTCCCCACCGCAGACCCCAAGTGTTTGAACAGCCTTCCTCCAGCAAGTGCCTTCCTGGAGTGAGCTCACGTGTGTGGCTGTAGGACTCCCCAGCAGGTGTGAATGCAACACAGGCAGGGTAGGGTCACTGTTGAACTCTCCCAACTACTGGCCTAGAGCTGAGCTCATAGCCTAGGACAGACTTGGTGCTCAGAGTGTTTGGAGAAATGATCCCATAAAACTTGTCTTTGCAGTTTTCCCTTTTTGTTCTCACACTTTCAAGTCTCTCTTTGATAGCCTGTCTTTTCTTGTGTTCCTAGCATCTCACTTAGTGAGCGCAGGGCACAAGGTTAATTACAAGTCTGGTAGCCTGTTCCCATCCTACAGGAAACCTCCCAGGGCGGTTTGTGTCTTGTCTTTTCAACCATTGTTTCTAGAATGTTTACCCCAGGTCAGACCCGCTGCCAGCATTTGTACCTGTATTACATTGTGACCAGAGGTGAGGAAATCAAGCGGGGAGGTTTCTCCAAGGCTTCCAGCTTCTGGGTGGCAGACATGGGGCTCACCAGGGCCTGTCTGTGCATCCTCTTAAGTCCAGTGCTCTAATTTAAAGTTCAGTTGTGAACTTTTTTTATTTTCTTTTTAAATCAAATCTTCAACTTGGTCATTATGTTTTTATTTTAGAGAGAGGGAAGGGGAGAGAGAGAGAGAAAATATCGATGTGAGAAAGAAACGTTGATTGGCTGCCTCCCACACACACCTCAACCAGGGATTGAACGTGCATCCTGGGTATGTGCCCTGACTGGGAATTGAGCCCACCACCTTTTGGTGTACAGGACAATGCTCCAGCCAACTGAGCCACACCAGTCGGCTCAGCTTGTTTTTTTAAAGGAGTGCTGGGTTAGCAATCCTTCACGGGTCTAAAAGCATTTCTCCCACCTCCTGTTGGGTAGAAATGAAGAGTTCACATAGCAGAAAACGGTCTATAACTCAGGAGGCCCAGGTACTGTCTGCCGCTGAACTAGAAAGTTTTATCACCACCTTCCCAATTTCCAGGTGCAAAAATCTTTAGTCACACTCGCTGCTGTCTTCTTCATCCCTGTCCTGTCCCCTTGCCATCCTCACCTCATACACACACACACACTGTATGTGCAGATTCCTTAGGCAGTGAATTTATCCTCTAACCCCTAATTTGCCACCCATTTCTAAGGCCTCTAGGTCCTTTCCCAACCTCAGAGCCTGGGAGTCACTGGCATGTTTGCTGTAGCCACATTTCTCATTTGGAAGTGAGAAAAGGGGGCATTTTGCCTCTGACAGTCCCTGTCTTGAACATGCCCTTCCCCCGTTCCTACCCCACAGAGCTGCTAATTCTGCACCTCACACTGGTCATTTATCCCGTTGTGCTGTCATTGTTTGTCTGCATGTCCATCCCCCTGCTGGGCTTGGGACTCTTCAGGGGCCAGGGCCATCTCTGGTGGGTTCTGTTGGTTCTTTCAGACTCCCTTCAAGTAGTATTGCTCTGAAGGCACTGCAGTGTCCTGGTTTTCAGCAAGAGCTCCTTCAGGGAGACCTGGCCGCTGGGGTGGCTTGAGGGGCTGGGGTCAGGGTCCAGGATGATGCCAGCCCCTTCGGAGGGGTGTTGGGTTGACATAGACCCTCCCTTCTTCCTGATGGAGCAGTGCCATGGCCCTGCCGCTGATAGGCCTTGATGTTCCCTGCCTTGTGTCCCGCCAGATCCTGCAGAAGGTGCTCCAAGGCTGCCGAGAGAACATGCTGGGGACCATGGCCCTGGCTGCCTGCCAGTTCATGGAGGAGCCAGGAATGGAAGTGCAAGTGAGAGAGTCCAAACACCCATATAACAACAACACCAACTTTGAGGTACGATCCAGGGTTGGCCAGGCTCCCCCAGCCTCAGGGCATGCAGCTGGCAGGACCCGCAGGGTTGCTGAGTAGCAAGAATCTCATCAACTCCCACAGCAGCTCTTTCCTCTCCCGCCAGCCCCGGCCAAGAAAGTGCTTCCTTAGTCTCAGCTGCAGTCAGAGATTCTGCACAACCAAGTCTTCCCTTCTCCTGACCTTGTTTTTATAGATGGGCCATCTGGCCCTGGGGAGAGTGTTTTCCCTGCAGCAAGCTCCTTGGAGTGAATTCTTGGTATCTTCCAGCAGTGAGTCTGAGTTCAACCCTCACTACCTGTCTCCTGATGACCTGGCCACACCTTGGAGACTCCCACCCCTTTGTGTAATGACACAGAACTGAAAAGCCTCATCGGATCCATCCTTAACTTTGTACCTAGACAGGGGGAGGTAGGAGTTTGGATGAGGCACATGTGGGAAGTCCTGTTAGTCTCACTGACTTAAAAATGTTCCTACATTTTTTAAGGGACATTTGAAAAGGGCTTTAGCGCTGCAAGTCATAAGCTTCTGAGGGGCCAGCACACTAGAGCACCAGTGGTGGATGACAGAGAAACTCATGCAGAACTTGGGTATTGCTCGCTGAGATTTCCTTTTGCAGAGTGTAAACCTCACTCTCTTCCTTCTAAGCCTCTTCTCTTCCTGTGTTCTTGGGTCCAGCCCCACTCCCCCAGCTCCGTGTAGGCACATCTGGTGAGCTACCAAGTCCTACCTCAAAGGGGATTGCCTATCTTCATCACCCCAACTCTCCTCTTCTCTGGCTTCTTTCTTCTCATGCTGGCCTTGCCTCAGCCTGGCCTTGGTCACACCAGCTCTCAGAGCGATCCTTGCACAGCACAAACCTAAGGCTTTCTCCTGCTTACAATCTCTCCAGGGCTCCCCCTGCTGTCCAAAGCCTAAACGCCTTATTTTAGCACACCAGGCTTTCACTTCTGTTCCTGCCAGCCTCTCCACAGTCACATGTCACCCCGTCCTCCGTCCTTACCTTGCAAGAGTGTCCTCACAGAGTTCACCCTTTACCCAAGACACAGCAAGCTCCTTGCTGTTCCCTGAACATGCCAGACTTTCCAGAGCTGTTTGCCTGAAATGTAGCCCCGTATGGTCACATCCCCCTCTCACCTTGTCTCCTGCCATTCGTTTCTTCTTGGCAGGCCCCTCCTCTCCTCTTCATTCTTGGCAACAACCTGAACATCCCTTCACTGGGACTCTTTTCTGCCTCCCCGCCTTCTCCAGGTGAAGTCTGCCTGCCGTGCCCAGTCTGCACAAGTGTCGTGCCTGCTGTGCTGGCAGCCTTGTGGGTGCTTCCGTCCCAGCTAGACTGAGCTCCTAGAAGCAGGGCTCTGACTTACTCATTCCTGCATTCCCAGTTTCAGGACTTGGCATGAGGTAAGCCCTCAGTAACTGACCAGTAACAAGTGTTCTCATTTCCCTTCCTTAGGATAAAGTTCACATTCCTGGTGCAATCTACCTCTCAATCAAATTTGATCCTCAGTGCAATACAGAGGAAGGCTGTGACGAATTAGCCATGTCCAGCAGCAGTGACTTCCAACAGGATCGACATAACTTCAGTGGGTCTCAACAGAAATGGAAAGATTTTGAGCTTCCAGGTATATAAATACTTGGTTTTATTAAACTTAATACTAAGAAGGGAAATTATTGGAGGATTTAAAATGGGGTTTATTATATTTCATCAGAAACCCCTCACTTGCCATTCCCTCTTACTGCAGTGTTCTGACCTGTCTCTGGTTCTTGTATGACACAGGAGATACTTTGTATTACCGCTTCACCTCTGACATGAGCAACACCGAGTGGGGCTACAAGTTCACGGTGACGGCTGGACACCTGGGGCGATTCCAGACAGGTGTGTGCATTTCTCTTCCCCTGCACCATCCCCTGCCAGGGCCACTCTGAGGGTGTAAGTGCCATTGTGTCATTGATCTTCATTAAAATCATAGCAGCTACTTTTCTCTAAGACTTCCACAGATTTGTCTCGCAAACCCTACATGTGTTACTCTTGAATATGCTATATAGTTGGTTTGTTGTAAACCTGAATGGCCAGAGAGAAGAGCCACCTAAAAAAGATGTTTGTTCTCTTAGAATGTCCAGGGCATTTTTGCAAAAAAGGGGAAATGAAAATGTCCCTATGTTGCTTTTACAAAAGGCATAATTTCAGGGAACATTTAAATGATCAATTGTTTCATCATATTTATTAAAATATCTGTGTTTTGTGGGGCTTGCCCAGGATTTGAGATTTTGAAGCAAATGTTGTCAGAAGAAAGAGTTGTGCCGCACCTTCCCTTGGCCAAAATTTGGGAATGGCTGGTAGGCGTGGCCTGTCGCCAGACTGGTCATCAGCGACTAAAAGCCATTCACCTACTTCTGAGGATTGTGCTGTGCTGCAACCACAGGTAAGCTGCCTTCTGGAGATGAGTCTCTTGCTGGGTGTTTGTATTGTGAATATCTCCTCCCATTTTGTGGCTTGCCCTTCCACTCATTTAGTGGTGTCTTTGGTGAAAAGAAGTTTCTAATTTTATTTTTTATATATTTTTATTGATTTCAGAGAGGAAGGGAGAGGGAGAGAGAGATAGAAACATCAATGATGAGAGAGGATCAGTGATCAGCTGCCTCCTGCACACCCCCTACTGGGGATTGAGCCTACAACCTGGGCATGAGCCGAACTGTGACCTCCTGGTTCATAGGTTGATGCTCAACCACTGAACCATGATGGTCAGGCAGAAGTTTCTAATTTTAATGTCTTCCATTTTATTGATCATTTCTGTAATGGTAGTGCTTTTGTTGTGCTGTTTAGGACATTTTTGCCTTACTTGGCAATGGGGTCATGAAGGTATTTCCTGTATGTTATCTTCTCAAAGCTTAATTGTTTTTTCTTTCACATTTAGATCTACAGTCAACGTGGAATGAATTTTAGTGAATGATATGAAGTGTAGGGGCAGATTATTTTTTTCTGACATGGATCTCTACTTGACTATAAGGACCACCTTTTCCCTCACCACACTCCAGGGCCATCTTTGTCACAGAGTAGGCATCCAATGTGCTTGGGTCTGTGTCTGGTTTCTTTAGTTCCATTCGTCTTTTTTATTATGCCAGCACCACACTATCTTAAATCTGTAGCTTTATAACAAACTTACATATCTAGTAGTATACATCCTTCATCTTCTAAATTGTCTTGGCTATTTTTAATCCTGCATGTCCATATAAATTTTAGAATTAGTTAATTTTTTTCCAGATTTATTGAGGCAAAACTGAAAAATAAGATTGTAATATGTTTAAAGTATAGAACAGGATGATTTGATAGATACATATATTGTGAAAGGATTCTGACCATTAAGTTAGCACCTCTCACTTCACAGTGTACAGGGTTCACTCTTCTCCACATCTTTGCCAGCATTTGTTATTTCTTGTTCTTTTTTATAGTAGCCACTAGAGGCCCGGTGCCCGGATTTGTGCACTGGTGGGGTCCCTCGGCCTGGCCTGCGGGCCCTGGGCTGAAACCGGTTGGACACTTAGCATATTAGCCTTTTATATATGTATATAGATGAGGTGATATCTCATTGTGATTTGATTTGCATTTCCCTTATGATTAGTGATGTTGAGCACCTTTTCATGTACCTGTTTGCCATTTGTGTTTCAAAAGAGGACATTCTGGCAACAAAGAACTGCTGCCACCAGGATACTTTGCCCATTTTTAAATTGGGTTATTTGGTTTTTTGTTATTGAGATGTATGAGTTCCTTATATATTTTTAATATTAACCCCTTATCAGATATATGGTCTGTAGATATTTTCTCTCTTTTAGTAGGTTGCCTTTTCAGTTTGTTGATTATTTCTTTTGCTATGCATAAGCTTTTTTTTTTAAGTTTTAAATTGATTTTAAGGAGAGAGAGAGCGATACATCAGTGTGTGAGAGAGAGATCATTCGGTTGCACCCCAACTGGGATTGAACCCAAAACCTAGGTATGTGCCCTGACCAGGAATGGAACCTACTGGTGCACAGGATGATGCTCCAACCAACTGAGCCACACAGGCCAGGGCTGTGCATAAGCTTTTTAATTTGATGTAGTCCCACTTGTTTATTTTTGCTTTTGGTGTCAGATCCACAAATCATTGACAAGACCAGTGTCAAGGAACCTAGCCCTATGCTTTCTTCCAGGAGTTTTATAGTTTCAGGTCTTACATTCAAGCCTTCAATCCATTTTGAGTTGATTTTTATGTATGGTGTAAGATAGGGGTCCAACTTCATTCTTTTGTATGTGGATGTCTAGTTTTCTCCATACCATTTATTTAAGAGACTATCCTTTTCTCATTGCATATTCTTGACACCTTTGTCGAAAATTAATTGACCAATGTGCATGGGTTTATTTCTGAGCTCTCTTTTCTGTTCCATTTATCTATATGTCTATTTTTATGCTAATACCATTCTGTTTTAATTACTATAGCTTTGAAATATAGTTTAAAATCAGGAAGTATTATACTTCTAGCTTCTTCTTTCTTAAGATTGCTGTGGTTATTCAGGGTCTTTTGCAGTTCCACTGACTTTTAGAATTATTTTTTCTATTTATGTGAAAAATTCCATTAAATTTTTGATAGGGATTACATTGAATCTGTAAATTCTTTGAATAGTATGAACATTTAAACAATATTAATTCTTTCAATTCATGAACACATTATCTTTCCATTTCTTTGTGTCTGCAGTTTCTTTTGCCAATGTTTTATAGTTTTCAGTGTACAGATCTTTCACCTTCTTTCTTAAATTTATTCCTAAGTATTTTATTCTTTTTTATCCTGTTGTAAATGGAATTGTTTTAATTTCTCTTTCTGATAGTTCATTGTTAGTTTATAAAAACACACTTGATTTTTCTCTATTGATTTTGTATCCTGTAACTGTACTGAATATATTAGTTCTAACAGGTTTTTTTGGCAGAATCTTTAGGGTTTTCTATATATCATATCATGTCATCTGCAGATACAGTTTTACTTCCTTTTTAATTCTGATACCTTGATATCTTGTTCTTACCTAATTGTTTTGGCTTTTTCTTGCCTAATTGCTTAGGCTATGACTTCCAGTATTGTGTTGAATAGAACTGCTAGAGTGGGCATCCTTGTCTTGATCCTGATTATTTTATTTTATTTGTTTATTTTTTCATATATTTTTATTGATTTCAGAGAGGAAGGGAGAGGGAGAAATAGAAACATCACTGATGAGAGAGAATCATTGATTGGCTGCCTTCTACACACTCCCTACCAGGGATCAAGCCTGCAACCCGGGCATGTACCCTTGACCAGATTCGAACCCAGGACCCTTCAGTCCACAGGCCAGTGCTCTATCCACTGAGCCAAACCAGCTAGGGCCTGATTATTTTATTTTTATAGATAACACACATGCATGCACACATACCCTTCTCATCTGATGGAATTTTGATTGATACTTTAGATCAGTTTGAGAGAATTAAGATTTTTATACCATTGAATTTTCTAATCCTCTATTATTTAGATCTTAGTAATGTTTTATAGTTTCCTATGTAGAGGACTTATACAACATTTTGTTAGATTTATTCCTAGGTATTTAATGTTTTTGATGGTATTGTAATTGTTATTTTAAATTTTTATTTTTAATTGTTTTTGCTGCTATATAATTAATTTTCATGTATTGCCTTTGTCTAGTGACCTTGTTCTATTTGTTAATTCTCTGAGTGTATAGATACGTTATTCAGCACACGGCCATGTTATTTATAAATAATGAGTTTTATTTCTTCCTCTCAATCTGTAGAAACTCTTTTTGCCTTTTTGCACTAGCCAGGACTTTCTTTCTTTCTTTTTTTTTTTAATATATTTTATTGATTTTTTTAGAGAGGAAGGGAGAGGGATAGAGAGTTAGAAACATCGATGAGAGAGAAATATCGATCAGCTGCCTTCTGCACGCCCCCTACTGGCGATGTGCCCACAACCAAGGTACATGCCCTTGACCAGAATCGAACCTGGGACCCTTCAGTCCGCAGGCCGACGCTCTATCCACTGAGCCAAACCGGTTAGGGCAGGACTTTCAATAGAATGTTGAATAGAAGTGAGGATTGAAGACTTAATTGTCTTATTCCTCATCTCAGAGGGAAGGTTTTATTTATTTTTGATTTTAATTTTAGAGAGAGAGGGAGAGAAACATCAATTTATTGTTCCACTAATTTATGCATTTATTGATTGGTTCTTGTATGTGCCCTGACCAGGGATCGAACCCACAACTGTGGTGTATTGGGATGACACTCCAACCTAGAGCCATACCAGCCAGGGGCTCCACCTAACATTTCACTTGAGATTTTTTTCAGTCATTGGAAGTTCTCTGTAACAGCCATTTTTAAAGATGTGCAGTTGATTTACATGAATGTGCTTCAGGATCTCCTGTTTCTGTGGTGTCTTGTTTTGAAGTTTAGGTTCTGCCCCTTTCCTTATTTGCTGGTGAATATTTTTGGCTCTTTTAGGAAGAGGGGGAGTGGGACTGTCCTGTAATGATTTTACTAGATGTGGGGAAAGTGAGAGTCAGAGTTGCAGTTCCTGTTACCTACCATCTGTCTGACGTGGTGCTCAGCAAACTACCCCGTCTCCTCCCACAGCGACCTCTGTGACCTTTCGCTGTTAAAGCCCCTGTGGCAGCTCTTCACCCACATGGAGTACAGCCTGTTTGAGGACGTGACACAGCCGGGCATCCTCCTCCCCCTGCACCGCGCCCTCACTGAGCTCTTCTTCGTCACCGAGAACCGCGCCCAGGTGAGGGTCCTGCCCTGCCTCTCCCCTGGCACAGCGCTGCCAGGTGCTTTTTCTCCCTCTGCTGCCCAGGGCGGGAGAGTAGGACTCAGATCACAGCCCCATCCCCAGCCCTGGTCTCAGCTAACCTGCACCGGGAGGTACAAGTGGCCTAAGTGTGAGGCCCTCACCACCCAGTCCAGGCAGCACTGAGATTGCTTATTTTACTAGGCCTAAGGCCAAGGGAAACTGGCTTGGATCAGCCCTTGACAACATTGAGCTTTGGAAAATAAAACGGATGGGTTCTTTCTTCTTCTTCCTTTTCCCCCTCTACTCAGCACAATAGACTTATTAATGTGAGAGATGAAAGGGCCTTTCAGAGTTCTTGAGCTTACCCCCCTCCTTTTATACATGAGGAAACCGACTTGAGGAGGGAGGTCGCTGCCCCTCCGTCACCCTGGGCAGAGCCCCCTGGAACTAGGCACCTGGCTTCTCCCGGTCCAGCTCCTTCCGGGCTCTTGGGTGAGGTGCCAGCAGAGCGAGCACTGATTTCTCACTCGAGGCTTCTGTGGTTGGGGTGGGTGTCTGTTAACGCTGCACCATGCTCTCCCCACAGGAGCTCGGCTTGCTGCAGGATTACCTGCTGGCCTTAACCACCGACGACCACCTTCTCCGCTGTGCAGCACAGGTACTCTCCCACCTCGCGCTGCCCTCGTGCTGCCTGCCCGTGGCGGCTGTCCCATCACCGTGGCCAGGACAGAGAGCCTGTGCTTGTGGCCTGAGTACAGAATCCACCCAGGATTTACACGGAGCTCTGTTCCCATTCAGTCACTTCCTTCAGTGTCTGAGAGAGCAGTCCAGCCCCATCTATCAGTGTCATCCATATTAAACTGTGGGGTCAGAAGACACTAGCAAGAATTTGTGTCTTTTAAACCAAAACAACCAATGCCTTAAATTTACAGTTTGGCCGGTCCCTGAAGTTTCCATAGAGTTAGATTGCAGATATTTTGGGATGTAACTTTCTTTCCTAGTAGAACTCTCTTCTGACAGCTGTTTGGTCTCAGGATCCCTTTTCACTTTTAAATTATGGAGGATCTCAAACAGCTTTTGTTTATGTGCTTTATATATATATATTGAAATACACCATTGGAAATTAAATTAGATTTGAAATTTAGAAATTAAGACAAAAATTTTAAACATTTATTATCAATTCATTTAAAAAATAATAAACCCATTCCATGTTCACATGAGTAGCCTGTTTGGTGAAAATCAGAGGGGTGGCGTTGTGTTCCATGTCTGAAAATCTCTTTAACATCTGCCTTAATAGAAGACAGCTGGAGTCCCATGTCTGCTTCCACCTGTTATATTACCACACATTAGCCTCTGGAAAACTCCACAGTGTACTTGTGAGAGTATGAAAGTGAAAAAGGCAAAACCACGTCTTAGTATCACCGTGGAAATCGTTTTTACTACGTGGAGCCCCGGAAAGGGTCTCAGGAACCCGCAGGCCCCACATCCCATCTGAGAAGCTCAGGCTCAGACTCCTTGAACCTCATAGAGCATGTGGCCCAACCCCCGCAGGGGACAGATGGGGCACGGAAGCTCAGAGGAAGGGGAGATGCCCAGGGTCACAGCTGAGTGGGCTCTAGTGGGACTCCCAGCCAGAGCTTCCCCCTGCCCTGCCAGTGTTTTTCAGCGAACCCTTCCTCCTGCAAGAAGGGTCAGATGCCTGCTTAGAAGCAGGGGTCCCCCGTCAGCTGTGGAAGAGTTTGTGTGAATTCTCCTGAGACCTGTAGGCAGAGTGAAACCTCCTAACGGGCGCCTACTGCACTGCCACCACCACCCCTGGTTGCGTGACACGAAATGAAATTTAGACATTTGACCGTTTGGGCACTGAAAGCTGAACATTGCATATCTCTGTGGGCTCCTCCCTCTTGCCTGTGCCCGTGCCCCGTCTCCTCACCCTGTTTCTGACCTTCCCATAGCCCATCCACTTGGCTGGGCCAGTGCTGCCTCCCCCCCTGCCTGCCGCCTCTTCCTCTCCTGGCCAGTCCTCCACTCCTGCTCCCTGAGCTTGAAGACCAGCCTTGACCTGGCTCTACAGCATCCACCTCCCCGGCCCCTTCCCAGCCCCTCCCCAGCACTGCTTCCTGGGTCCCCAGCACTGGCTTCTGTT